GGGCGTCCCGCGTGGAGTTTGCGCGTTCTCCCCGAGCCCGCGTGGCTTTTCTCCGGGTACTCCGCTTTCCTCCCACATTCCCCCGAACACTCCAAATTGTCCCTCTAGGTGCGATTGTTGTTGGTCAGCGCGTGCCCTGCCATGGGTTGGCGACCGGGTCGGCGTGTACCCGGAAGACAGATTATGTGTGTATTTTTCTACAGATTATTTTCTTGGTATATCGCGACTGAAGTTGGTTATTTATTCTTATCTTTCCGATCGAGCGCAGCGTTGTGCGCTCCACATTAGAGACTCGATTCTTCGACGCAGGCACACGATTTTTCAGGTCCAATTTTGAAGACTCAGCCCGGGTTTTACTTTGTCCACTTGGCTTCCATTTTTGATGACCTTTTTTTTTTTTTCATTTAAATCAATTAAATGTTGCATTTCATTTGTTTGTTTTCCACTGACGACGCGGACGAGCCCGCGGCCGTATCTCTGTGTACTGATGTTGCTCGTTTGTCTTAGCCCGGCGAGCCGAACTTCATTCGCCAAGTTCATTCGGAGTCCAAACATCCTGTTCACTTTCTCATCGTCTGTGTTTTTGGGATTTGAGTTGGATGTCTGGCCGGAATTGGCCACGAACGCATCACGCAGGTCGCTCAAGTTGTCGCGATTTTGCCGCAGTGTTTTGTCGCGTTATCGAATGACGCACACGTCAGTCCAACTGTTCCGTTAACGCGGACATTTATTGAGGTCCCCACTCGCGCGTCTCTCCTCTCGTCTCCCGCGCCCGTCGCCGACGCACGCCCGTGACATCATCGCACAGCGACCCTGTAGTCTTTCTGTCGCACACCACGTGAGTCACTTGCGTGATTTGATTTGGCGCCGTTTATAAGGCCGGATACCCCGCGCCATCTTCTGTCCAATCTTTCCCGCGTATGTTTTTGTACCGCGATGCGGAGAGTTGCTCCCGGGACTGACTGTTTCGTGCTCGACGTAGTAACGCGATCGGCGATCCTTCGGTGGTCTTTTGTTCGAAGAAGAATGCCAGCCTGCTGAAGGTCACTGCCAATGTTTATTAAACGTCGATTTTTTTCAAAAGAAACGCGAGCCAACTTTGATTTGACCTGAATTGTCTTTGCCAGATGGCCTCCGACGAGACTTTTCACACGAACGAAGACGGGCAGAGAAAAAAAAGTTGTCTCTCGCTCCCTTCTCACTTGGACACTTGGACTTCGCGCGGCAACGCCCCGAATTCGCCACTAGGTGGCGGCAGACACTCGACATCACCAAGCGAGAGGAGAAGGCGCCATCGCGTGCCGACTTTGGATCGACACGATATCAGAGAGCTTTTCTTTTAACGACGTAGCCTATTCTTCTTGTTCTTGTCACCTCGTTCCTAATATCGGGCGCACAAACGACCGCGCCGTCGTTGGGAAGCCTCCGCGGCAGCTTCAACGGAGA